ATGCTGCTCCCCATGCTGCTGCCAAGCTGCAGCCGCCTCATGTGCCGAACCACGGCAGTGGCATTGAACGCTTGCTGTGAAGAGCATAGAAACAAAAGGAAAAATCTGATCACGAAACTTTGGGACAATGCACGCTGAGCCATCACAACTTAGGTCTGCACTAAAGTCTACCCTGCTTTATCATCCTTCTGTACACTAATGGGAACTATTGTTTAAAAAATTAACATCTAGCCGTATTTAAACAGTTCAAACTAATGACTGAGACCATAAACTCTTGAGCCATACTTTATTATGACAGCAGAATTCAATAACCAGGTAATGTTATGGTAAAATATATTGTGTTAAAATGACCTAGTAAATCATTTTCATTTGTGGAACATGGGAATTGTTTGAAATCTGAAGTTTGTTCTTATTTCTTCTGACTTCTTTAGGGGTAAATAGCTGTTGAGAGGTAGATCTTACCCACGAGACAAGCCAGGTTTTTATTGCTGAGTGATTCACCTTCTAAAAACAGTTGGCTGAGGAGCTGTAATAGGGTAATGTAGTCTATTGCAGTAGAGCCAAAACCACAGAGAATAAACTGCAGTAAACAAAATTTACCCTCCATTTGCTCTTGGCAAAGTTCTTTCTGATCTGCCGGCTGACTGACTCATGGATGTTCTTGCAGAGAGCCGTATCCCCAGCGATCCTGAGATATATATAACGACACAAAAACACAATTTCTTAGTCAATACTTCTGAATGTACATCAATATCAGTATTGATTTGATGGATTTTTGTGGTGCTGTTGTGTGTGTGTGTTTGTGTGTGCTTGTGTGTTTCTCACCAGGGGTGTCTGAGTGCCTGTTCACAAGTGAAACGCTTGGCTGGGTCTTTTTCCATCAGTCTGCTGATGAAATCCTTGGCTGGGAGAAAAACAAACCAAACATTGTTTTTTACTACGTTAAAACTCGCTCACAAAACATTTTGCGACACTGAAAATCTTTGACATTCTGATCAGGGAAAGATGTTTTCAGATGTCAGATGTTGCACTGAGTAATGCACTGTTTGGTTTCTACTGAGAACTTGGGCTGTGTGTACCATCTGGTTTTTACTGTATCAGCCAAGTTGACCTCTGTTAATTCTATATTACTAGCAATGTGCAGGAGTGATTTCTATTTGACACTTCTGAAAACACAAAGCTTTTCTTGACAGTCCATAAATGCGATTTTATCCTCACTAACACAATAGACTGGTGACTGAAATAGACTTCCAGCCAATAGAACGCTGGTTTTACTTCCAGTCTATGCGCGTAACTGTGCTGGTAATGGATGAAACCACACATCGCACACACTTACTCTCACATATTTTCATTCAGATTAAATCAGCGACTATGCTGGAAAGGTGGTGTGTGGGCCATATGTGCCACATGATGGACCGAGGAGGCGGAAGGACAGATGGTGGAGGAAGGAGGAGGAAGAGGAGGCCTCACCTGAGTCTGATATGTCATCCCAGTATGGTGCATCAAACTCATAGTCAGCTTTCAGGATCTGCTCGAACAGCTTGGAGTCGTTTTCGTCGTAGAATGGAGGATATCCACACAACCTGCAGACGAGATATTTATTCTTTTGGTCTAATCTTTAACAGTCACTTATTTTCATTAATAAATGATTTCACTGATTACTACACAGTCCCTTTACTCATTGTCACCCTTTTGATATGACTGCCTTGCTTAGGACACTTAGGCTACGTTCACACTGCAGGCGAAAGCGCATCAAAT